GTTGTGGCAAGTTTACATGGATTGTAGTATGTATGCACAAATATTTGTTTGTTTATACAGGTTATGATCACATACAACTGGATCTACTTACCATGATGTAGATCCGGAACCCGTTGAAACTGTCAATCCTGAACTTTTCTGTTTTTCTATCGGACCATCATTAATGCCTACTTCATAATAAGATACCCTATCATACAGAAAATAAGTATACTGTACGCATTATAGTTTATAAATATTATTGGTTTAATATTACAACAACTGGAAAACACAGTGAAACTGCTTAAAACTTGTCATTGGTAAAAAACTGGCAAGAACTGTTATCACAGAACAGAACTGAACTGTTATCATTATGATATCATCGGTTGTTTTCTGAAAGTCCTATTTTGATTGAGTTAATCATTGTAACGTTTCACTCAGGCTCCTTAGATTTCCTAAATATTTCTTAAACAGCAAAAGACATAGTCTTGACATAACTACTCCTTGTATTGTACAACACACAGGGAAGCATTTCCGAGGCTCACATTGGATTAATATTTAATGTCACTTACCTTGATGCCAGGGATTCTCCTACAAACACTTCATTGAGTGCAAATACCGGTAATACCCGAGGTGATAAATCCTGTATGCTGTCATCTTTAGGATTATGATGTCTGTCATAGTGTTCGGGATATCCTATGATCTCTTCATGCAAATCTACAGGTTCAGTGTTAACATGTCCACCTTCCACAGTTACACGAATCCTCTGACGCCAAGTCCATCTGAAAATCATAATAAATCATAGGATATTACTGACATTTACATGTATATTGTGTTACTGGCCATTCATATCACATTGTGGTGGGCATTTGGGTTTTTGCCAGAAAATGAGTTTGTCTAAAATTAATTTTGAAATATAAGATACTAGATGAAAAAAAAAGCAATGACAGTAAACTTTGATCAAAATCAGCTTGAAAGTTTTTTTAATATTTTGCTTACACAGGCTGAAATGAAATAATTAATATGCAAATAAGTTACTTAATATGCACAGACATGGCGCCACATCTTATCATGTCGCACATTATCTATGTACCAATTTAATCCAAAAATCTGCACATATAAGAGCTAAAAACTGGAAATTTTCAATTAAAGTTGACAGATTTATAGAAATTTAATAAAATTGAAGGCCGGGTGGACATCCATTACTGTGCAATTAAGTCATTAGATTACCATACTCAACCGACTAAGTATTTATTACCCACCGTGAATATCATGAATGAGTAAATTACAATTCAACCTGTTCATGAAAGGTATTTAATGCTTCCTCCATATTCAAAAATTGTGAATTACCACAAAAATCCAGCTGTTTTTCTTATTGAAATCAGGGTCAAGAAATCATAATTAAACATTGATACCGGTAATTCACTTTCTCATTGCATTGTGCCATCATCAATATTCAGAAATTTTAGGAAAATTGCATCAGCATTCTGATTGGATTGTGCATGGCCGAAATTGAGAGTTTAAGTACTATTGAAAACATTCAATGAAGATTACTGTAACAATGAATCTCTTGACTTCAACAGTTTTCCCACAGATCTTAAAAATGTTATATATTGTAAATTCTGATGGTATGTAAATAATATTGTAATAAAATTTGCATATTTGTTGTGATCATGTCTGTTTCATCATTGGTAAAGTGTTGTGGAAGCCAATGATGACACGTTATTCCTAATCTGGTACATGGTGAAAGAAAATTATTTTTTGAGCAGTTTTTCAAGTGGGGTGCTCCACTTAGCAGCAACCCATAAAAAAACATCATTTTTTGGCTGAGCACTCTTGGCGCTAAGTCAGACGAGTACGGTAATACTGTAACATTTCTCTTGAGTGGTGCAATGTTCTGTGTAGAAATTAAAACACTGTTGAGAAGGATTCTCCATACTTCGATGGTAGAGGGTGCTATATTCAAGATGGCTGTTTTAAGATGTGTCATTTTCTATGATGAAAAAAAAAACACTTATTTTAGTGATTCAGAAATGTTTGGTATCCCATCCAGTGAACAACTGAAAGAATATTACACAACAAAAATGAACATAGAACCACTGAATGTATAGAGACAAAATTAATATTCCTTCCAAACTATATTGAAACCCATGTTCATATAGGTGTATATCCTTTGCATGATGTGCCAAAAGATCGTGTACCAAAAATGTCATCAAAAGATCTTTTCGGCATCAAAAAAAAAAACTATTAAAGCTGTAGTACAGCCATCTTAAATACAGCACCCTTTAACATTGAAATATGACAAAATTCATGTCAACAGAAGTGTTGCATGAACCACAGTGCTTTTAATTTTCCTCACTCAAAAAGAGTGTTTTCATTGTTTTAAAGATATTCTTGTCTTGACTCTGTAATACATTACATGAAATGTATGTTAAGTGAACACAGGGTTTATGATTTTAAGGCTTGTTCAAGGAATATACTCACATGTCACACACATCTCTTTCGAAATATAACATTATTCATTATTACAAAGCTTACATGTACATAATGTCATAGTTGACTTTTAGTCAACAAGTGATACACAGTTGAAAGATCAGGATCACAATAAATAAAATTTAGCACAACAGATTTGAAACAAATTTCTAATATTTTAGACTTTCTCAAGGCTTTTTAAAAAGGGCAAAGTTGAGTTCACATACTTTAAAATCGTTTATTTTCACTTACATTTAATTTCACTATTTTGATGTTTTGAGTATATTGACTTTGTTTTAATTTCACGCTTTTGTCAAGGATACAATGAGTTTCATTGTTATTTTACATGTTCATGTAGATTTAATTTAGCAGATTTTACTCATCAGCGAAAATAGCGAAATTAAAACCCAGTGAATAATTAATGCATTTACAGTATCGTGTGCTGAACGTCTCTTAAGGATAAATGAAAAAAAAACGATGTCAGCAGGAAATGTGTTAAGACCTTTATGACTTTCAAGAAAATTCTCACTAAGACAAGGTACTGGTAGTAAACAATTGTTGAATGTTTAACTTACATTACAGCAAAAATGGAAATTTGAGACAAATAAATATGATGACCAGTGTGCATATTATAATGCTTTAACAACACCATTTCCAAGTCCTAGATAAAGACAACCTTTAGATCAAGATCTTCCCATAGTAAAGGATAACACTTACTTGAACTTTCCTGTGAGTAATTTTGACAGCGTATCTTCAAAATTCACAGTGCATTTATTTGGTAAAGCTAAAAAACCTTCAGATCTCTTGGCATCAGTGTTAACACCAATGACAGGTGTATCATCAAATACTTTACTGGCTGCAAGTAGAAATGTACCGTCACCGCCAGCAGCTATCACTGCATCAGACTTTTTTACTTCCTCTATAGTGAAATCATTCCTGGACACTACTTTGTATTCCAGTTTCCTCTTCCTGCAAAGACAGATAGCAAAGTGTATGCAACGTCTGAACATTCACAAATATATCCATGGTTGGCAGCCAAGTGTAGTGAGTGTATGTGATGTCTGGCCATTCACAAATGAATCCATGGTTGGCAGCCAATTGTAGTGAGTGTATGTGATGTCTGGCCATTCACAAATATATCCATGGTTGGCAGCCAAGTGTAGTGAATGTATGTGATGTCTGGCCATTCACAAATATATCCATGGTTGGCAGCCAAGTGTAGTGAATGTATGTGATGTCTGGCCATTCACAAATATATCCATGGTTGGCAGCCAAGTGTAGTGAGTGTATGTGATGTCTGGCCATACACAAATGAATCCATGGTTGGCAGCCAATTGTAGTGAGTGTATGTGATTTCTGGCCATTCACAAATAAATCCATGGTTGGCAGCCAAGTGTAGTGAATGCATGTGATGTCTGGCCATTCACAAATATATCCATGGTTGGCAGCCAAGTGTAGTGAGTGTATGTGATGTCTGGCCATTCACAAATATATCCATGGTTGGTAGCCAATTGTAGTGCGTGCATGTGATGTCTGGCCATTCACAAATATATCGATGGTTGGCAGCCAATTGTAGTGAGTGTATGTGATTTCTGGCCATTCACAAATAAATCCATGGTTGGCAGCCAAGTGTAGTGAATGCATGTGATGTCTGGCCATTCACAAATATATCCATGGTTGGCAGCCAAGTGTAGTGAGTGTATGTAATGTCTGGCCATTCACAAATATATCCATGGTTGGCAGCCAATTGGAGTGCGTGCATGTGATGTCTGACCATTCACAAATAAATCCATGGTTGGCAGCCAAGTGTAGTGCGTGCATGTGATGTCTGGCCATTCACAAATATATCGATGGTTGGCAGCCAAGTGTAGTGAGTGTATGTGACGTCTGAACATTCACAAATAAATCCATGGTTGGCAGCCAAGTGTAGTGAGTGTATGTGATGTCTGGCCATACACAAATATATCCATGGTTGGCAGCCAAGTGTAGTGATTGTATGTGATGTCTGGTCATTCACAAATATATTCATGGTTGACAGCCAAGTGTAGTGAGTGTATGTGATGTCTGGCCATTCACAAATACAACTGTATATCCATGGTTGGCAGCCAAGTGTAGTGATTGTATGTGATGTCTGGCCATTCACAAATATATTCATGGTTGGCAGCCAAGTGTAGTGAGTGTATAATGTTGTCTGACCATTAGGAGTCAAAGGAAGTCACTGTGACTTTCACTGGGGTCCTAGGAAGTCACAATGATTTTCACTGGTGTCAAAGGGGGATCACTGTGAATTTCACTGACATGCTAGGGAGTCACTATGAATTAACTGGGGTGCTAGGGAGTGAATACCATCAAATCATGAAAATTAATAGTAGTGAAAAATAAACAGTTTAAAAAATATTCATGATTTTCAATGAGTATGCATATTACATGTAGGGGTAGAAATAAGTGAACATTAACAATGGACACCAGACGACGATGACGGACAATCACTCATATGATAAGCTCTGCTCGACAAGATCAACAGAGGAGCTAAAAAATGATACATGTAGAACCATCAAGCTCCTGGTCTCATCCTATTTAACCATGTGGTTAGTGGTTTGATGAAACTACAATTTACTTGTTGTTTTCTCTAAGGCAGCAAGACATGAATAAATCTATGTCATAGTGTGGGATATGGATTCAAGTAGAATTCGTCAGATCTTTGCTCATGGTAGTCACAGTAACATAACTCTCAACTTACTCTAATGTATCAGTGATCTTTTCAATGTTCCTTTTATGAACATTATGAATTCTGTAGATTTTTCCATAATCAGAGCCTCTCTTGGAAAGCTACAAAAAAACAAACATTATGCAATAATATAATTCCCAAATGTGTACATCGCAAGTTTTGAAAATTTGTTAATGACTAACAATGTTTTTTTTTATGAACAAATACAGAAGTAAATGTTACAATTCGATGTATTAAATAGTTTTTGGACTACACCATAATTGTTTACATTATTTGCATGTACCTGATAATGCCCAGAAAAAAAAAAGTTCAGAGCTTGTTTTGTTGATCCAAGTCAAACTTTAATCAATGCATGTATTCAAAAGCAGTATTTATTGTAAAATCTGTATTAGAAACCGTGGCTTCTATTAAAATGGTACAATGCAACAGAGGGGATTTGGCTTCTATTAGAGCATCTACACATATGAGAAAGTATGAATTTTTGATTCTCAATTATTCACAAAAATGGATGCGACTTCTATTGAGGATGCGGTTTCAAATACAGATTTTACGGTAATAAATGTTAAATAATTAACATGTGATTTATCCTGTTGTTGTGATACTGAATTATCTTTAATACAAAAAAAAAATTTAATCACATTCAAATTCAGATCATGAGATGAATCCAACGTATTTTTTATATGATTTACACTCCAGGTCGAAGCTTTGTGGAATACACATACATATACATATGTATTCCTCAAAGCTTCGACCTGGAGTAAAACTAATATAGTGACCATAAAAAAACAAACTGATGCAAACCCCAACAATTTCTTTCATAGACTACTATTACTACTATTTTCCATTTCTAGATAATTGTCGTTCCTTCAAACTATTTCCCATGATTTGTGAGATTGTCAGCATGTATCCCACCACAATTGCATTATGGGGAAAAAACAATAAAAGCAAAGACCTACATGTACACTGGCAATTCGAAAAGATATTTAAAAAAAAAAAATGTTCAAAAAATATGGATTTACACAAGCCAAATTGTCATGTTCTGTTTAAATAACTATGAAATAGAGAAGGTTAAGAAACCACATACCAGCAGAATGTGCAACCTATGATCAAAAAAAAAAAATACCATTGTATTTTTTTATAGCGAAACAACATAATTTAAAATCAATATAAAAAATCAACATTTTTACAACTCTAAATAAAGTAAATGGTCATTAATTTTAATATAACAAGTGGCGAATTTATTTAACAGCAAAATGTTTCCTCTTTGGTTTTGGTTATCAGGGATTTTTTTAAACAACGGAACAGGGGCGCAGCGCCCTCATGCCATGACCATGCACCCCCTAACCCTGGGGAGCAGATCCTCTGGCAACCATAAAATTCTGATTGACCAGGAATCACATGTGGCCACAGTCTTCAAATGTGACCTGTCTGATAGTAATTGGCCCTAAGGAAGCCATAGAATGCTCCATTTTAATTTAGAATTATCAAAAACTCCACACCCTGGTAGGGAGAACCCTATCTCCCCCACTTAGTGGCATCGCTGAATTGCAGTGCTCCCTCTAGCAGTTTTTTTCTAGAAAAAACCCTGGT